CACTTGCAAACACTGCACAATGTGCAACCCACCACCACCTGTGCACAACTGATGCTCCGACTTCACCAACACCAACACTACAGACCTGCCAAGGCTTTGCTGCGGAAGTTACCTGAGCCTCTGCCTTTTTGCACTCACCACATCCCACAGCCACACACACACACACACACACACACACCCACACCACCACCGCCTGTAAATGAGACTTTCTCTGCTTTTCGCTTGATTTTTGCTGTCTCTTTTTTGGGACCCATACCTTCTCTTTTTAAAATTGTCTTCGAACCGAACTTTTGGTGCAAATTTTTTAAAGATCAAGAAATGGCAGCTGAAAACACACACTTGGCACCACTCTTTATGTCGTTTTTTTGCTTTGCCAAATATTGACCCTTTCTTTAAGTGCAAAACTTTGACTTGAAGCAGTGTTGGGTCTGGCATTGGACGATTGATTGTTTTGAATTTGGATCGGATGGCTTAAGACCTGGCTTTTTAACAAGTTTTGAGCGAGTCCAAGCCAGACCACACTGCCTTTGGTCCGATCCAAGTGAAAAACAATCCTTTTTCGAAGGTAAAGAGGTGTGTGCAAGTCCAGGTCTTAACCCGACACTGCAACAAGTCAAAATTTTTGCACTCAAAAGGAAAAGGTCTTTTAACATTTGCCAGCAAAAGGTCTCACTACTTCGATCCAACACACCAGAGCGACCGAAACCACCAGGCACTTAGAAAGGCAACCTTCAAAAAACCAGAAACAGGCAAGATAAAACAAATCTTTAAGAAAATCTCTTCCACAGATTGCCATGCAAGAAGTTACCCAAGTAAAATTTTGCAAATTTTATTTGGTACAGCCTCTGGACTGGTATACTTTTCGGGAATAGGGTTTCTTTTGGGTCAACCCGAGTCAACCCTATTCCCTGAAAGGTTGCCACCCCAGAAGTCACGCCTCGCAAAAGTTGCAACCGGCAAGTCAGAGGAATGATTGCGACTGGAAGCAAATTAACAAACCCAAAATGTTCAAAACTCATCAAAAACAGCACTTCAGTGAGTTTCTGTGTTGAATACACTCCGGTGTTTTGCTCGCTGCGCTCGCACTTATTCACATTTTGGTAAGACACTTTGCAAATTTCGAACGGTTGGGTTCGGGCGTCGCGCGCAACATTGCGGCATCAACACCACAGCTGAACTCGTCTCGTCCTGCAGTTGATTTCTGTCCAAACGGCACTGTCAGAGACTTTCAAAAATGCTTATTTCAAGCAAAATCAATCACGGACGTGGGGGTGCAAGGGGAGGCTTTTCCGGGGCCCATTTCTGAGCCCAAAAAAGCCACACGAAACGGTCCCGCAGAATGGGCCTCCACAGTTGCCAGTTGCAAGCCGTTGTTACTTGAGTTCACGCAACTTACAGGGCCACACTGCCACATGTTGGCTGCACTTCTCTGCAGTGAGTCTGCATTCAAGATTACCAGGTCTGAGCAAGGATGAAACGCTGGCAGCGTGACCGAAAATGCCCAGCAACACTGATGAGCATTGCACTCAAGGTTCAATGCCCATCCGAACTGTGGGCCGGAAAAATGGGGCCCAAACTGTGGGCCGGAAAAATGGGGCCCAAAAACGGGGATGTTTTTTGGGCCCCTTCTTGCAAAAATCCGGGCCCAAAAACAGGCCCCATTTTTTGGCATCACTTTTGGCTCCCTGATCTAATTTGCCTTGCGTGGCTCCACCTCAAGCTCAAATTACGGAGCCTATTTTTGGTGACGCATTTTGGCATTTTGGTGTCTTTTTTTCGGGGTTCATTTTTGGGCCCTCAAAATCTTATAAAGAATCCCAATTTTCAGCCAATTTACCACATTCCACAGAGTCATGACCACTTGCACATGAGCTGCATTCTATCCATCAGCAGCTTGGCAAGAACTTGCTGTTTTTAGCTGCTTCCGTGCTCTGCACAAGTAAGGACCATGCCTTGATCAGCTTACAAAAATGGCTCTCTTTATAGGTTGTCCAGCAATTTGTTCTGCACTGTGGAGGCCCTTTCAAGCGGCCCCAATTCAGACACAGTTTTGGGGCTCAAAAGCAGCCCCCCCAAAAAACACTTGAATTGCTGCCCTTCATTCAAACTCACCTCGCGTTTTTCGCTTGCACACCTCCACCCATTCTGTCTCACCTCACACTCACACACCACATCACACATTTCCACACACTTGCAAACACTGCACAATGTGCAACCCACCACCACCTGTGCACAACTGATGCTCCGACTTCACCAACACCAACACCACAGACCTGCCAAGGCTTTGCTGCGGAAGTTACCTGAGCCTCTGCCTTTTTGCACTCACCACATCCCACAGCCACACACACACACACACACACACACCCACACCACCACCGCCTGTAAATGAGACTTTCTCTGCTTTTCGCTTGATTTTTGCTGTCTCTTTTTGGGACCCACACCTTCTCTTTTTAAAATTGTCTTCGAACCGAACTTTTGGTGCAAATTTTTTAAAGATCAAGAAATGGCAGCTGAAAACACACACTTGGCACCACTCTTTATGTCGTTTTTTTGCTTTGCCAAATATTGACCCTTATTTTGTTCCCAAATTCATCCATGAATGTATTCCATCATCTCGAATATTCATTTCCTTTAGTCACTCCATTCAAGCTCTTTTTCCGAGGAAGGGTACAGAATCGACCACCTGTCCATTATGCAGGTCTTCTGTCTCCTGGGTACAAAAACACGAAAAACCCCGTCGGGTATGTGAAACTTTCGCACCGTCTAAGCTCAGAGGTTCCGCCTAAGTATTCGTCCTGTCAGTGGCTGAGTTGGAAAACGAAGTGCAAGCAAGCTCCCGGAGTGAAAGGTAAGTCACTGAGGTTCATGCTGAAAGGCACGTGTCGCCCTTGCAGCTCCAAACGAAAACTGGATTTTCTCACAGCATGCCCGGTGCGATGCCATACGTCATCAGCAATCGCAAACTTGATGTCGTCAACTGTTCCTGTAGTCGCAACTCGACAGAGCACAACTTCCACAACCGGAACATTGGTGACCATCACTGCCAACCATTGGGCCCTGGATTCGCGGTTCGTGCCCTCCTCAAGGCTTGCAGCATCAGCATCCCTCTTCATACTCACAGTCAAAGAGGTGACTCTCCTATGTTAGCTAGCACAAACATGGGCGGGGAAGAACATCGTGCAGTTTGAGCCCGCGGCCGACCGACGGTGGAGCACTTGTTGAGCTGAGGCAGGTTTCGCTGTCACTGACAAGGGGCAATGCAGCACATAGAGTGTGTTGAACCGCAGAACCATCTTTTACACTCATGGTCGTCGTCAGCGGGCCTGACCGTCAGGAGGGATTGTGACTACTGTGGGTCAAGGAATTCCCAAGACTGGTCACGAGACGAAGAACTCGGACGTGGCTCACTAGGCTGGGCTTCTTGCGGCGTGGAAGATGAGCTCGCAGCTGTTGAAAGTGTAGCGTTCAACAGGTTACGCCTGGCCTGCAATCGCTCGCGGATCTCTACCTCTCTATCTGCCAAGACGTCCTCGATGCGCTCGGCCAGCATGATGATCTGGTCCATGCTCAATGTACGAACCCACCAAATCTCGAAGGCTCTCATCTGCAGGGCCGTGATCCTAGGGGGCGCGTCCATTGCAACTCAGGCTGCACTAGCTCGGGCCGCTGCGCTGCAGGCTCGGGATGGGAGAGTCAGGCACCGGGCTGGCTGTCCTTCCGCAACAGCATCCCACCTTCACTGCTGGGTGGGTGGGCGGGGCTTTTTAATCTGCTCGTCTGACTCTCAGTGCCCTCTCGGGCTGAGCCAAAAATTTCTCACGCATTTCATGGTGAAAAATTTTCTCTCAAAATAAAGGTTTGTACTCAAGAGTACGAAGCCCTTATTTTGTTCCCAAATTCATCCATGAATGTATTCCATCATCTCGAATATTCATTTCCTTTAGTCACTCCATTCAAGCTCTTTTTCCGAGGAAGGGTACAGAATCGACCACCTGTCCATTATGCAGGTCTTCTGTCTCCTGGGTACAAAAACACGAAAAACCCCTCCTAGGTAAGGGGAGAAAAAAAGACAGAAATCCCTTCCTCGGTCAAGTAGTCTGGGCAACAAAGCGATGTGCCTGACGTAGTACCTCACGTAATGCTTCCACAGTAACGTCGTCCTTGATCCTGCAGGAGCTGGGCAGACCCAGGAAACAACAGCGACTCGGCGCATCAGCTATGTTGCTGCGTGACGGTACCCGTGCATACCATGGAATGCAGGACAGTTCGGATTCGTGGACAGCTGAGATTTTGGCCACCGCATCAAGCATGGCATTCTCACTTTGCATCCGAAGCAATGTCACTCTGGCTGCCTCGTTATCGAGATAGAATACCACGTGCCGCTGTAGCAGTATGGCCGCGCAAAGACGAACAGTCAGTGCTACAGTTAGACTTTCTAACTCATTGATGCACTTCTTCTCTTCACGCAGGAGATCCTCAGCAACGTCACGGGGGAGCAACAGACCAAACCACCCCAAGATTGTTCCCTCGTGGTCCTGGACCACTGCACCAAGCCCCATATCAAGGTTGTCTACTCCCTCTTGCGATGCATCAGTGTAAACAAAGATGACGTCTCGTAGCGTCGGTCTGAGCCGCCTTGGTTGCGCACCTTTCAAGAACTCCAACACTCTCTGTAGGGCCGTGGCTACTTCCCCGCGGTTGGTCCCTGCAGTTACACGGCCACGGTCACTGCCCTCAGCAAGCGCTCGTGGAAGTCTGCCGGCAATTTGTCCGCTCATGAAACTCAAACGACCGCGCATTTTCGCCCACAACTTTGGGGTGAGTAAACCCGATTCGATGCTGTCCTGAATCTTTTCCACTGCATCTTCAAGCCTTTCTTCTGTATTTGACACAAGAACGGTCCGATTCTCGTCCTCCAGGCACGAAAATTGCACACCAAGTTGCTCGGAAAGTCGTGTGCAGGTCCTATGCCTTATCACCATCTCGGTCAAAATCGAAACCTAACAGGGAAAACATGATGTCGACGGTGGCCGAGGTGAGTTAAGAAGTTCCTCGCTGCTGAAAAGAGTGAAATCATCGTAGTAGGCGGTCATAGGCAGTCGAAAAAGGACGTTCCCTATGTGGCACAAGGCGAGAGAGACTCTGATGAAGGAGTGTACAGCTGCCGTGGCCCCGAAAGGCAGGCACAGAAGCCTGAAAAACACTACCTCACCTGTTTCAGGGCACTTGACTGCGATGAAGGCTTTGTCGAGCGCCTGCTCCTCCAGGGGTAGTTGGCGGTAGGCCGCCTTGAGATCCAACGTTTTGCCAAAAACCTTGCCCTTGTGCAGTCGGCGAGACATCAGCAGTGCCGCTGTGATGACGTCTGCATGAACATGAACTTTCCCATGCGATTCAAAGGCCATGTTGATAAGGCTCTGGCTCAAGTCGTCGATCGGCCTGAGTTTGTGACCTTGTTGGATTCCAAACCTCTTGCTGATCAGCGCGTCCTCGGGTAGGTCAGCCAAAGCGGTGAGGACCTTGTGACCATCCCTTGTCTCTTTCCTGGATGGACTTATCCCACAGTTCCTGAACGAATCTGCTGTTCTGGACGACTTCTTGTATAATCTTGTCATTGTTGTCGCAGTGGAGTGCACTCAGATCCGCATCTGTCATGAGTGCTGGACGAACGTCCTAGCTTGTGTTTAGCAGCCCTAAATGTTGTTCCTTGTTTACAGGAGATTTCGGAGATTTGCGTTGTTTTGCGTTTGTTTGCTATTTTTGCAATGTACTTTCGCTTTTGTTTGCACGTAGACCTGTTTTGCTGGATTTTGTGCCGGATTGTCTTTTCAAGATGCCTTGAGATCTGCAAGACTCTCAGAGACTTTTGCTAATTTGCGCCTACGCCATGTGTCTTCAACAGATTGCATCTGAGCCGCTGCTCGCTGAGCGCTCTTGCCTCAAGCAGCTCCTAGGCCACAACTAGCGTACTTGCGCCATGTCTGCCACGTCGGAGTCTGATTTGTTGGCCGAAAAAAGTGCCCAGACACAGTCCGTAGGGTCCATGTTTGTACTTCCAAGGTGTCGCAAGCCCTTCGCAACTCGCTCAGCGAAGTACTCAGTGGAGGAGGTTGCCAGGTCTTCAAGGTCGATTTTTGGCGATGCGAGAGGCTTCACATTCGTTGCGGGGCGCAGGCGCGGCCGGCCGGTGCGCGGCCGGAGGTGTCCAAGCTCATCCGTGCGCTGCTTGGTGACCTAGCTGCAGTGTATGGTTGTGGCAACAGCCATGCGCGGGGTCAAAGCTTTGGGTGCAAGAAACCAGTCATGCCTTCAGTCAGGTCCTTGGGTTGAGTCTGACATAAACCCTGAGGCAGGAAGTCAGTCTTGTTCTATAGCAAGTTGTGACGTGGACGGTGAAGCCAGGCAGACGTAGACTGTATTCCTTTTTCTGAACCCGATTGGTGAAAGACCAATGTGTACCTTGTTCTGCCTGAAGGCGCGAAGTGCTTCTTAGACGGTCAGCGACCATTGATTCGTATGGCAGGCATGCCCCAGCTTCGGCGCTCCGGTTGACAGAGGTCCTCGCCAGAAGCAGAAGAACACCTCTTGCGTCCTTCACCCTTTAGGGGACGACCGGTAGTATAATACTGACATTGCATTGGCGTGCGGTGATTGGGTGGCGGGTTTCCTGCACCTGTCCTTTAATAACTTTGTAAATTGCCAGAGGGTGAATCCAGTCCTAATAAAGGGGTTTCCGCAGGGTTTCCGTTCATGTTTGTTAAGGTTCTGGAGGGTTTCCCTGGGTTTCCCTACAGTTTTGCAAGGGTTTCGCGGGGTTTCTGGAGGTTTCCGTGGGTTTCCTTAGATTTCGTGCATGTGTTAAAACCTATTGGATGGTTTTGGCAGGTTCCTCAAGGGTTTCGTGAGAGTTTCCGTGGGATTTCGTGCAGTTTTTGAACTTTCCTCCTTGAATTTCTCTAAAGTTTTGTAAGGGTTTCCGCGGATCCGTGGGTTTTGTCAAGTTTTGCCTTGGTTTTTTAAAAGCTTTCAGACGTATTTTCTAATTTTTAAAAGCAAAATAGTCTTCGGAGACCCGCCCTTGCCTTAAACTCCAACCCCCTTAAGAGGGAAAGTTTGCCTTCCAAAACACCGGAGACCCCAGGATTGGCAAGAATCCCAATTTAAAATGCGATTTTTAGGACTGACATCAACGGTTCCTTGCTGGCCTGTCGTTTTCTGGATTGACCAAAAAACCGAGCTTTACCGGCTTCAGGATTTCAAGTTTTTCCCCACATCTTTGTGTGGGGTTCTTACTTTTGGAGCTGTCCCGCCTCTTCCTCTTCCTTCTCCTTCTTCTCCTTCTTCTCCTTCTTCTTCTCCTCCTTCCCGTCCTCCTCTTCCTGTTCCTCATGACGCACCATCACGCACAGCACGCATTATATCACATCACGCACATGACGCGGTGTCACGCATAAAAGGTTTCCCTGGGGTTTTCTAAGGTTTGCGGGGTTTCAGTGGGTTTTATAAGATTTTGCGTAGGTTTTTGAAGCTCTCGGAAGGTTTTTCTAATGTCTTGTGAAGGTTACCGTGGGTTTTCCATGGTTTTTGACAGTGAAGGGGTTTCCGTGGGTTTCTTAGGGCTGTGTAAGGGTTTCCGCGGGGTTTCTGTGGGTTTCCTTATATAGGTTGTGCGCAGGTCTTTAAAGCTTCCAGCGGAGCTTTGTGAGGGTTCCTGCAAAATCTCCGCGGGGTTTCGATTGGTTTTCTCATGCTTTGCGGCTTTGGAAAAAGATGTCAGAAGCTTCAGCAAGGGTTTCCATAAGCTTCCATGGCACCATGGATTTCCTCAGCGTTACTTCAAGCTTTGGAATTTGTCACATGATGCGGTCGGCGCTCGTCCAGACAGGCAAGATGCAAGCGGCGCAGTGTGTCGTGCGGCTTTGCAGCGCTGCCAGGTGAGGTTGTGGAGGTGGATGCTAATGGCACAGGGAGAATCAGAAGTGACCGCTGGGCTAACCCAGCTGTATTTTTCCGCAGGAGTAGGTCCGAGTAGGTTTTCCATATGTGCTCCGGGTCTTTGCGCAGGAAATTGTTCCGAGGCCAGATTCTGGGTCCGCTTTTGTGTGCAAAAGTCACGTCCGCTTGTGCGTGGCCTCCCCGGTGCCCGTTTCTATTATGTTGATCACTTCCGCAAGAAAGCTGCCTGTGGAGGGTCGTTGTTCTTTAAAAAAAAATTCTCCACGCTAGGAGCTTGCCTGTGGGTCAGAGTTGCTGTAGCGTCGCAATCTGGGGAGCGCAGGGGCTCGAAAAATGCAGATTTAGCGACACCAAAATTGGGGCCGCCAGGCGGCCCCAATTTTGGGGTCGCAGTTCCAGCCTTTTCATGTATTTACACATTATAATAAGGGAAGCTGGGTGCATTTCGTGGCCCCATTTTTGGGGCCGCGAGACGGCCCCATTTTTGGGGTCGCAAGTTTGAGCCCTGGGCTCACGCAGCTGGGTCTCGTCAGCGTGCCTGCGCCTGCCCTTGTTCCAGGAACCTTGGGGAGCAGCGTGCAGAACATAAGCTTGGGGATCAGGGGCTTGTCCGAAGCAGCTGCTTGCTTTTGTAATGCTGCAGCAGAAAGGGAGCTGCAACTGTGGAGGCCACTTTCATGCGGTTGTCTTTTAGCTTGTGTTTAGCAGCCCTAAATGTTGTTCCTTGTTTACAGGAGATTTCGGAGATTTGCGTTGTTTTGCGTTTGTTTGCTATTTTTGCAATGTACTTTTGCTTTTGTTTGCACGTAGACCTGTTTTGCTGGATTTTGTGCCGGATTGTTTTTTCAAGATGCCTTGAGATCTGCAAGACTCTCAGAGACTTTTGCTAATTTTTGCGCCTACGGGCCATGTGTCTTCAACAGATTGCATCTGAGCCGCTGCTCGCTGAGCGCTCTTGCCTCAAGCAGCTCCTAGGCCACAGCTAGCGTACTTGCGCCATGTCTGCCACGTCGGAGCCTGATTTGTTGGCCGAAAAAAGTGCCCAGACATAGTCCGTAGGGTCCATGTTTGTGCTTCCAAGGTGTCGCAAGCCCTTCGCAACTCGCTCAGCGAAGTACTCAGTGGAGGAGGTTGCCGAGGTCTTCAAGGCCGATTTTTGGCGATGCGAGAGGCTTCACATTCGTTGCGGGGCGCAGGCGCGGCCGGCCGGTGCGCGGCCGGAGGTGTCCAAGCTCATCCGTGCGCTGCTTGGTGGCCTAGCTGTGTATGGTTGTAGCAACAGCCATGCGCGGGGTCAAAGCTTTGGGTGCAAGAAACCAGTCATGCCTTCAGTCAGGTCCTTGGGTTGAGTCTGACATGAACCCTGAGGCAGGAAGTCAGTCTTGTTCTATAGCAAGTTGTGACGTGGACGGTGAAGCCAGGCAGACGTAGACTGTATTCCTTTTTCTGAACCCGATTGGTGAAAGACCAATGTGTACCTTGACGTTCTGCCTGAAGGCGCGAAGTGCTTCTTAGACGGTCAGCGACCATTGATTCGTATGGCAGGCATGCCCCAGCTTCGGCGCTCCGGTTGACAGAGGTCCTCGCCAGAAGCAGAAGAACACCTCTTGCGTCCTTCACCCTTTAGGGGACGACCGGTAGTATAATACTGACATTGGCGTGCGGTGATTGGGTGGCGGGTTTCCTGCACCTGTCCTTTAATAACTTTGTAAATTGCCAGAGGGTGAATCCAGTCCTAATAAAGGGGTTTCCGCAGGGTTTCCGTTCATGTTTGTTAAGGTTCTGGAGGGTTTCCCTGGCTTTCCCTACAGTTTTGCAAGGGTTTCGCGGGGTTTCTGGAGGTTTCCGTGGGTTTCCTTAGATTTCGTGCATGTGTTAAAACCTATTGGATGGTTTTGGCAGGTTCCTCAAGGGTTTCGTGAGAGTTTCCGTGGGATTTCGTGCAGTTTTTGAACTTTCCTCCTTGAATTTCTCTAAAGTTTTGTAAGGGTTTCCGCGGATCCGTGGGTTTTGTCAAGTTTTGCCTTGGTTTTTTAAAAGCTTTCAGACGTATTTTCTAATTTTTAAAAGCAAAATAGTCTTCGGAGACCCGCCCTTGCCTTAAACTCCAACCCCCTTAAGAGGGAAAGTTTGCCTTCCAAAACACCGGAGACCCCAGGATTGGCAAGAATCCCAATTAAAAATGCGATTTTTAGGACTGACATCAACGGTTCCTTGCTGGCCTGTCGTTTTCTGGATTGACCAAAAAACCGAGCTTTACCGGCTTCAGGATTTCAAGTTTTTCCCCACATCTTTGTGTGGGGTTCTTACTTTTGGAGCTGTCCCGCCTCTTCCTCTTCCTTCTCCTTCTTCTCCTTCTTCTCCTTCTTCTTCTCCTCCTTCCCGTCCTCCTCTTCCTGTTCCTCATGACGCACCATCACGCACAGCACGCATTATATCACATCACGCACATGACGCGGTGTCACGCATAAAAGGTTTCCCTGGGGTTTTCTAAGGTTTGCGGGGTTTCAGTGGGTTTTATAAGATTTTGCGTAGGTTTTTGAAGCTCTCGGAAGGTTTTTCTAATGTCTTGTGAAGGTTACCGTGGGTTTTCCATGGTTTTTGACAGTGAAGGGGTTTCCGTGGGTTTCTTAGGGCTGTGTAAGGGTTTCCGCGGGGT